ACTCCTTTCCTGGCATATGCTCTGGTCTATGAGTGACCACAAGCACTCTTTTCTGCCTTGGCAACTGTGAGGATTCTCTCTCAACCGCCACTACAAGCTCCACCACACCAGCGCTCCTCTTTGCCCCAGGACTGCTCCTTAGAACTGTGACCCTGATCCAAGCACGGGCAAAGCAAGAGAATCCTGCCTCAGCACCAGCAAAGAGATCCCTGCAATCCCCCTCTAATCACCGACTCTATTCCCAGTCTGTCTGTGGGCCAGAAGTTCCCAAAGCAGCCACCGCCCTAGGGCTGAGCTAGAACTGGGGCTGGGACTGAGCTTCTCTCTCACTGCAGTCACAGACTTTTCCCACCGACCTCCTAAGTTGTCTTTGGCATTCGTGGGTTGAAAAGTCTGGAAACCACAACAGCTGCCCATGATTCAGTCCTCTGACGCCTGTTTTGCCTGCCTGACCAGGCTGAACTGCATTCCTCTCCCAGCCAGGCAAGACAGACCTTTCCAATCAACCATTCAGGTTGTCTTAGACTGGAAATTTGTTTCACTCTGTCTTTTTGTGGGTTCTGCTGCTTTAGAGTTTGTTTATAGCAATTTTTTACAGGTATTTGGAGAGGTTTGGGGGAGAGTTCAAGTCACTACTTTTATTCCACCATCTTGGCTGAGCCCTCCCCCTCCCCGCCCCAAGTCTTAGGGGCTGCATTTTGACATCTAGGGTAGCACTCAAATACCCCAATGCTGCACTGTCCTCCGTGTAAATGGATGGAAGTTCATTATCTTGCTTTCCTCTAAAGTTAGGCAGGGGATTTACAGAGAGAGAATGTTTCCTTATAAATGGAAACCATTGCACAGCAAGACAGAAAATCTGCTGTCATTCAGGGCATTTATTTGATTTCCTGGATCCTCACTATTCTCATCAATGCACCAAGTCCATTAAAGTTCCATTAGGATTTCTTTGCCCAAGAAAAAGTTCCTTTCTACCAATTAAGGGAAAGAGAAAAGTCTTAACTGGACCCAGAATACTCAAGATGGATATAGTCTAGGCCTATTGTAATGCACTGAATCCAATGAAAGAAAACAAGCCTTGATGAAATAAAATTTTGCCCATTAAATGACTTACCTCATAAGAAATGGCTTCCCCTTAAATCCACAATAGATATTCATTGATTAATAAGAACAAAGTGAAAAGGTAATCCAACAAAACAGGAAGTGATCCATACCACTCCTCCTCACAGCCACAGATCTGATGTTCCTTATTCCAATTGAAATAAAACACTGAATTCCATGTCAATTACTTTATTCTAGCTTGAATATACTTACCCTTTCGAAGACAGTGTTCTTTAGTAAAAACAGATAAATTTGTTATGGTTCTATTGAGTAAAGAATATTGGAGGCCCATATTAAAATCTTCTTGCTTTCTATGTAATATTCACATTCTTGAAAAGGATAAGCAGATTCAGCTTGGGATTTACCCGGAATTCAATGGTTTCAATTGGAATAAAAAAAATCAACATTGACAAGACTAGTGTTATCAGTAAGGACAGTATGGGACACATCTTGTTTTGTTGGAGGACTTTCTCAATTTGTCCTGATTAATATATGAATATCTATTTTAACTATAATGGGAAACCATTTGTTATACCATCAGTTATTCAATGGGTAAGAGGGTATTTCATCAACACTCATTCTCTTTCTTTGAATTCAAGCCTCCACTCTTCCAGTTGTGAATATTTTCAGGCCAATTAAGCATTTTCTCTATTAATAAGCGGGAATAATTTCCTTTGAGTAGAATATTTCTTGGTCAAAGAAACCCTAATGGAAACTGAATAGAATTGATGCATTATTGATAATGGGGTGGGGGAATGGGATATACGAAGTCAAATAAAAGCCTGAGTCACAGCAGATTCTCTCTCTCTCTCTTTTTTTTTTTTTTAAATTTTTAGGTAATTGGGGTTAAGTGACTTGCCCAGGGTCACACGGCTAGTAAGTGTCAAGTGTTTGATCTGAGGCCTGATTTGAACTCAGGTCCTCCTGACTTCAGGGCCAGTGCTCTATACACTGCGCCACCTAACTGCCCCCCCCCTTTAAAGGAACAAATGGGTACTTAATTTTCTCCTTTGAAGATGAACAGCTACAATAGCGCCCCCCCAATGCAAATTGACAAGTGGCTTCTATAGCAGGTAGTCATTAAATCTCCCATATATTGCTGTTAAACCACACTGATTATGCACTCATTGCCAAACCCAGGATTAAAAAAATTATTTGTAGGTTCTTTACCTCCAACACTTGCTCCCTAAATAGAAACATGTCTAAACACTAAGTAAACTACATTGAACCACTCTTTAAAGTTGTCACCAATTCTAAGGTGTTTTTTTTTAAACAGAGTCCATATATTGGAAAAACTTAAAATAAAAATTTAGTCAGATTCAGAAGCACAGGAAACAGATAACTGTCTTTTATTGTGTACATTTTGAAGTGATTTCCCAATTTCCTGTTTCACCGAAAACACTAAGTATACTCAGCTTAACATATATGCTGTAAACCTGCCTTGCTCCCTAAATAAAACAAATCATTCCAACAATTTATCCAGGAGGCCATTGCATTTGACGTCCTCCAAGGACATGCAGATGGATATGATAGACAGATTGCCCCCCATCTGCACCTTCATTGATCACCATTCGGTATCCTCTCTTCAGACCCAGGTCAGCTGCACATTTCTTGCCAACAATCATTAAGTGTCCAAGAAGCTAGGAAAGAACAAAAATTACATAATCAACACTAGCAACATATAACCTACCACATTTGGATACAAGTAATAAACCATTTATCAAGTTAAAATTTATCCCTAGAAAAAGCCTTTGGACAAATATACCTTCAAATTCTTCACAATTTCACAGATGCTCTTCAGAGAAGATCCCCCCATTGGGTCAATTGTCCTGTGTATTTCTGAGGATACCAGGGAGCACTCTACTATCCCTTACTGTCACCAAGACTGATCCAATCCACTTCTTTGTCCAATCATACATTGTCTTGATACCATTTCTTACATGCAGGTCATTAATGAAAACATGCTGCAAGCTATTTGTGTCCACCCCTGCAGAACTTAAAATGTTGATTTTTCAAAGATTATGCTGTTTCAAGTTTAACCACATATCATTAGAAAAATATCTGTGTTTAAAAAAATGGGTAGAATCTGGGGATTGTGAAAATCATGCTGTAACTTTTCAAATGCTTTTCAGCCTAGTCTCTTCCCCAAGATCAATTCTTGACACAGCACACATACAGTGTCTGTCCTGTATTTACTTGCTCACTCAAAATACTGGCTATCCACCTTCATGTCAGTCTGGGCAATGAGCATTTTTCATTTCTTTCCTGTGAGATGTAATGTGTTGTAATATATACATCACAGGAGCAGCTAGATGGTACATTGGATGGAGTTGGATCTGTATTCAAGGAAGACCTGAGTTCAAATACAGCCTCAGACACTTACTAGTTGAGTGACCCTGGGCAAGTCACTTAACGTTTTATCTGTTTCCTCACCTACAAAATGGGGGGAAATTATGGCCAACTACTTCCCAAGGTTGTTTTGAGGATCACATGAGATAACTGTAAAACTTTAGCACAGTGCTTGGCACATAGTAAATGCTATATACAAGTTAGCAATTATTATTATTTACAGAAAAGTCTTCAATCTGCATTGATGGAAGACATTTCCATACTGAAGCTCCCATCTTGCTGAAATCTTAGATCCAAACAAACAAAGAATTTTTCAAAACAATTTAAGTTTTTGGGGGCAGCTAGATCGGCCCTGAAGTCAGGAGGACCCGAGTTCAAATCCGATCTCAGACCAAACACTTGACACTTACTAGCTGTGTGACTCTGGGCAAGTCACTTAACCCCAACTGCCTTTAAAAAAAAAAACAAAACAAACCAAAAAAAAAAACAATAAAAGAATTTAAGTTTTAAGAGCTTAAAATTACATTAAGAGTTTAGTAACATCCTATATTTACTGCTGGAAGGGACCTTAGAGGCCACAGTCCAACCCCTTCTTGTTTTACAGGTAAGGAGGCTGAGGTCAAATGACTTGCCCAAAGTTAAACAATTATTAAGTAGCAGTGCTGAGATTTGAAGCCAGGGCCACTAACTTCAAATCCATCCCTTTTCCCATTACACCACCAGATAGTTAGGCTGACCTCTTCTGAGTCATCATTAATCCCAATGAGGGAGGCCTGTAATGTTGTAAAGCTCAATGCAACCAGCCAAAACTTAAAGGACTTTACCATTCAAAGAAAATCCCTCTTCTACTTGGAACTTCTGAGGTACATTCTCCCATGACATGACCAAATAGACATTTTTATATGTTCATAATATATACACATGTATCAATCATGCTTTACTTGACAATAATCAAAGGGACACTAAAAAGAATTACTGTGCTGGTTTTTCAGCAAACATCATATATTTTTAACATATGTATGAAATACTCCTTGCTGAAGCAAGTATTTTTCTCTAATAAAGAAAGTGGGATATTATATTCTCTGCAGTAAATTGTCTGCCAATAAAGGTGTGGTCTCCAACAGTGAGTCACTTTTCTTTCAAGTTTTATCTATAAATGCTCTTGGGATGATGTGATTCATTTGGGTAGACTGATGTTTTTTTGGGAAAATACTGCTTCTAATCTTCTGCCATCCTCCTGTACTGGGAGTTCCAAAAGTCTCAGTGCAGCTTTAAGCTTTAAGCCTTAGGGATACACTGTACAGTGTTTTATAAATGAGTTTGTATCCTAAAATCATTTTACTTTTAGCTATATAACTCCATTTGGAAAGGAGATCAAATGTTTGCTCAGTAAGGCAAACTCTTTAGGCTTTTGCAGGAAATGATGACAATTAATGTCATTATGTCTGCTTGTTTTCATTTATCTACAATGACAATTTTTAAGAGGTCAAGTTGGATATCAAATCTCAAACCTGAGCTAAAGTTTCCAATATACTTTCCACCATCCTTCCGAAGTCAATATCAAATTTAGCTTCTGAAGACCTCATCAAATTCTTCATAGAATTTCTTTACTTCAGCCCCCGTCACAACTATTGGCAAATAAGCTGTAATTATCTTCATAGTGATCTTTTTGTTTATGCCCATCACGAATACTGAAAGACAAGTGCTTAGCACAGTACTTGGAACATAAGAAGCATTTAATAAGTAGTTAGTGACTGACAAGGTAACTAAATGTGTTGTTTCTATGTTATCGAGTATTTGTACTTGGCAAAGATCAACTTCACTAACTCCTTTTTTTGCCTTTGCAAGGAAAACCCATGCCATCTATCCGCTTAGTCAAAACTTTGTGGACTTTGGATTTTACTTATTGCAAGAATACCAGTACTAATATAATTTCAATCTGCTAGCAGTCCATCAATTCATTGGGTCATTGGACAAAGATCTCACATTTAGAGTAACAATAGTTAACATTTATAATTAACAACATCAATATAAGATAATTAACCGTTGTTTGTAAGTAACAGGATGTTTACAAACCATGCTAATATAATATGCTCCTTAGCACCTACTGTTCTCTTTTCTGCCATTCCATTGACATCACAGAAGAATCTGGATTTAATTTAATACATTAAGTTTTTCTTTCTTTCTTGGTTGTCATGACCAAAGAATTCATTATCCAATAGACTGTAAGCTCCCTGAAGGGAAGGGGATGTTCCATTTATGTCTTTATATCCTCAACATCTGACATGGTGTTTGGCACACAGCAAGGACTTAATGAACACTTACCCTTGTTGGTTGATCACCTACAGGCAAATCTACTGGTGATGAGTTTCTCCTTGCCTAGCTAGATTGGCTCTCAGACTGTGGATTGATTCAGTCTGTCTCCAGGCCCAAACACAAACCCTTTTCAGCAAGGTAGAAACTGATGAAGTATAATAGCAACTTAAGAACTCAAGACTACCTCTCCATGCCACAATAAAGCATCTTAGAAAGATTTTGTAAAGGATAATAAATGACAAATAAAATAATTTGTAATTCTGGACAAGAGACAGAGAAGAAAATGAACCTTGATAAATTGTATTTTCTAATCATAAGCCAATATAAAGTTAACCTTCTTAAAACATTTTCTCATTATTTTCCTTCAACCTCTAATAAAATCTTTTCCCATAAACTATTTGTTTAGATTTCTAAGGTAAAGGAGAAATATCATTGATGAGGAATGAAACTAGTTTTGCTTCTCTAGGAAATTCATTTCAATCATAATTAGATAAAACATACCTATTTACAGTATCTAAAAATAAATCAGTACTGTCATTAAGTTTTGGTAAAGGCACAATTAGTATTTTAAATCATATAACATGAGAGAAAAAATAGAATATTATTACCATGACCCTACCCAATTAATTTCTGAGGAGGAAATATGGGGTATTTCAACAAAATGGACACACACCAGTGACCCATGTACTCATGCAGTGTGATGTATTGGATAGAAGACTGGGATTGGAGTCAGAAAAACCTGAGTTCAAGTATTGTAATTAACAAGTCACTTAATCTTACAGTGCTCCCCCAAGCAACTCTAAGATCACAAGCTACAGAAAAACTGCAGAAAGTTTCCACACTGACATTCCTTGGACAGACAAAATCACAAGTATACATTAAAAAAATTATATATTTATTTGTAATGAATATTAAGACATTAAGCGCATAAGGAAACAAATGGTTAAAAAGTTCAACATCAACCCCATGTAATTCTGAATGTTTTATCATACATTAAAATAACCCTAAACATTTTTCTAAGATTTTCCCCTGTCATTCTTGGACTCAGGGGTGAAGAACCTGCTGTCACATGTGGCCTTTCAGGTACTTGTGTGAGGTCTTTCGACTAAGTCCAAGTTTTACAGAACAAATCCTTTTATTAAGGGGATTTGTTCTTTGAAGTTTTGATTCAGTCAAAAGGCTGCACTTGAAGACCTAGAGGGATACATGTGGCCTTGAGGCCGCAGGTTCCCCACCCCTGTTCTGGGTAGATCTGTATCTAATCATCTCTATTTCAAACTAATCCAATGACTATGAAATGCTTAGTTTTATTTCTGAACAGATATTTCATTACTTGAATATCTGACATGATTTTACCATCTTCCTCCTTTTAAAAATTCCTATCAGATCTTAACAGCTAGCAATTACACGGCGCTTTAAGGTTTTCAAAGCCTTTATACAGATCACTTCATCCTCAGAACCCTGAGAGGCAGATGCCATCATCTCACTTTTACAGAAGAGCAAACTGAGGCCAACAGAGGTTGAGTGCCTTGCCCAGAGTCATACAATTAGTATGTGAGGCAGAATTCTAACTCAGATCTTCCTGACTCAAAGTTGGGCACTGTGTCCCCTAGGCTAACTCAACTGTCTAGGCATAAGTTATGTCAACTACTGGTTTTAAAATACAATGCTAAAAACTTTCTAGTTACATGTGTCAATGTCTTAACATTTAAATCATGTATACTTTTTACTTAAAGTTTTCTCTGCAGATATTGTATATTTTCTTCCCAGTAAGAAAAAAAAAGAAACCCCCTCTTGAAAGTTTAATGAAAAGTACCCCCAAAAATCTAATGTTGTTTGTTCTGAGTAATCAAACACTGAGAGATATTTAACTGTGTAATAAAAGAAATAATCTGATAAACACCCTAGGTCTTTAGTAGAAAAATTTCAAAGAATTAAAAGAAAAGATAGGCAGGATCCCAAGGTCTGAAAATCTGAAAGAAAAACTAGTTAAATAACAAAAACCTCATTACACAAATCAAAATGATTCCAAAGAGGAAAAACCTGCATTAAGTAATGTACCGTGAGTACCCACTGTGATGGAGGTTATCTGTCTGCAGGCAGCCATGATCAGAACATATCTGGAGGACTGAATCCAGTTCTGCGTGCTAGCAGCCTGCATTTTATGAGAAACATTCTCACAGCCAGAGAATGACAAAGATAGTGAGAGGATTAGCAATAATGGCATATTAAGAATTAGTTGAAGAAACTGATGATACTTAATTGAGAACAGAAAGAACTGACTTCTCAGTTTCTTCAGCAGGCCTGCAGCACACTGCCTTGTGTTAAAATCACTACCAACTTGCTTTCAGTGTTCAACAAATACTGATTAATGCTAACAGAGGAAATCAGAATAAATGCAAGCCTTTTCCTAAAATAAACATAAGCAGCCAAAATTAAAAGAAAAGCTAGAAGGTAGACAAAATACCAGTATTCAGATACTCCTCTGCAGAAATACCGACTTTGAAAACGAATGTTTTATAAATTGTTCTAAAATGTAGCTTTCAAGAATGTTATTTTTTCAACTTTAAAAAGCAAAGGTACGTGGCCTCAGACCAAACACTAGACACTTAATAGCTTGTGACCCTGGCCAAGTCACTTAACCCCAACTGCCTTCCCCCCCAAAAAAAGCAAAAGGGAAAAAAAGTTCTTATTATATTTACTTACATTTTCATCTTCTTCTTCTGCAACAGATATCTGGGTAATGGGTTTCTTAGGTATCACCAGGAAATGAGTTGGGGCTTGTGGGGAAACATCATGGAAAGCAAGACACTAGGGTAAAAAAGAGAAACATAAAAGTTTCTGTAGGTCAAAAAATAACTCAAATTCTAGATAGTATACATTATCCATATAAACTTATTAGAATAATAAGCCTTAAGGGGAAAAAAAAAACTCAAGAGGGGTTAGATTCCAATATTTTGATACTGGCTGCTCCTTTACTGTATGTATACATACAAACACACATATACTTATAATGGACTCCCTGTCAACCTTACTAAAATATCACGATTACTATACACCACCACAATATATGTGTACTTTACATCAAGTTATTCTGTTGTTCAGAAAAAAATGCACCAGTAAAAACATCTAACTGGTAAGATGTCCAAGAAGCAACTGATGAATATTAGTTAACCTTACTATTAATGACATTACATTTCTTCCCCCCCCCAGGTAATTAACAGAAGGGACTGAATAGAGAGGTCTTAGTACCTTGTTTTTTTGCTTCAAAATATATAATAATTCTGAAAGTAAAACCTACATAGATGCTGAAAATAAGTACCAACGTTTACCATGCACTTTCAATTTTTTTTTTGGAGAGGGTCTGAGCACAAGTATACCATACACTTTCTTAATGAAATGAAACAGCACTTTCCTTTGCTATTTATAAACCATAAACCATTTATAAACCTTACCTCAAGTAAAATCTTGAGACAAAGAAGAGGTCAAATCTGGGTTACCTGAACCTTCTTTTAAATGTGTTTGGGGGTAATTACATTTGAGTCAGGTAGATTAGATTTGAAGACCAATTCAATAAATTCAGTTAAAAGAACAATTTTTCAAGTTCCTACTTTGAGAAATGATAGGAACTGAAAAGTATACAAGTAAAATTATTCCTGACTTCAGGGAGCTTACATTGCCCTGGTGAGTGGTTGGAGATAGAGGTGGTAGATGGGATACAGTTAGGTTGAGACTTCGGCAAATCCCTTCCCCTCAAGGACAGTTTCTCCATTTATAAAACACAACAGTGGGCTAGAGGACTGCAGAGGTCCATTTCAGGTCTGACACAGACAGTGTTGTTGCTATTCTACTAGGACTTTGAACATAACCAGAATTTTAACAGAATCGCACCTCCAAGTAAAAATGTTTCTATGACTAAGGTAAAAAAGAGTTAAGAACTTCACGTGGCCTCATGGTTATTTTTCATTCCTGTGGAACCAGTGTGTTTGATTTGGCAAAGTGCCAGGTTTCAAAGGTTATTCTTGTCGCTACTGCTGCGCTTGTAGAGGTTATTCCCCCCCCAATGCCTGTCCAGTGCCTCCTGTCCCTCAGATCCCGGTCCCCCGCAGGCACCACTAGAAAGCTGGAGCAGCGCTGTGAACGATCAGATTCCTGACCTCTCAGAGCGCTGCCAAGATTGCCGTACTCCCCGCAACCCCCGCCGGGGCACGCAGCATGGCGACTGCGGGGCTGGAATCTCAAAGGCAGAAGAAACGCGCCACCCTCTCCCTGGACGCCTCCTCCCCCCTCTCCAGATAGCGTCCTTTCTGGTGGTGAAGGGTCGGCACAGAGGCCTTGTTAACAGATGGCCTTTCCTGGAGGTAGGGCAGGGAGGTCAGGGGGAGCCCCGGGGCCGGCTTTATGTTGCCGCAGCAGTTCTGAGAGCAGACGAGGCGGGCTCGGGGCCCGAGCGAAGGGGAGGCGGACGGAACCCCATCTCCCCGCCCCCCGGGGTCCCCAAGGCCTTTTATTCCCGGCTTAGCGGGAAAGGCTCCGGACACGGTCCCACAACTAGCCGAGAGACCGGCTGCAGGACGAGGACCGCGGGCTGGGAACTGACAAGTTCCAGTAAGGTACGGGACAAATCTTCCAGTCCCTCCCTTTCCTTTCCTTTTATTCAAACCAAACCAAACCAAACCAAGCCAAACGCCGTCGCCCGGAGAAGGGCAGCGGCACGCACGAGGTCCCAGTCATTGCTGGCTGGGCATGGGTGGGGTTTTCTGGGGAGCTTCTCCTCCAGGAGAGGGAAGGGCGGCGCCAGTAACAGCCGGCATGACTTTACAACAGTTCAGGGGCTCCCCCTTCCCCCCACGTCCCGGGGTCCCCCACCCCCGCACCTCGCGCTGCTGCCGCCTCAGCCGGGGATGCTCCGGCACGTCCCCGCGCCCGCCTCCGCCCTCTTCTTTCCCATTCCTACCCGGTCATCCTCAAAAATGATTTTGGCCGGGATTTCCTTGCGAATTATTTTCCCGAAGATGGTGTCTCCCCCGGGCTGGGCAGTCTGCGCCTTGCTTATCTCATCTGCCATCGCGGCGGCTCCCGCAGCCTCCCGCAGCCGGCTCCCGCCGCAGCCTCCGCCCGGGCGCCTGCCGGACAGCACTTCCCTGTGAGCGCCGCGCGCCCCGCCACTGCGCCTGCGCACACCCGCAGGCGAAAGCCACGTGGGAGCTTAGCTTGCAGATTCTTCCGTTGGGTTTGAGTCTCAAAGGCGGTGAAAACTTATTAAATAGGGAAAATACATAGGTAGCGGCCAAAGAAAAACAGCGCTAGCAGAAACCCCGTAGGAGTGAGAGCCCTTCTACCGACGCCTCACTCACCACTCTTTTTTCTTTTCTTACCTATCTCTCCAGTCGGCTAGAAATCAGCATTTGCTGTTTACACTGAAACTGGCTTTGGCAAGTAATATTGAGCATGCTCTAGAACTGAGCTCCAGCTCTAAGGACTGGGTGGAAAGTGTAGGCACTGCGCCTGCTGTAAAGAGAGCTGGCTGTGGTTTTTAGCCTAATGACGGCGTAGTCTCTGTGTTGGTCTCAGGATGTTACAGCCGAAGAGGTCATAGTCTTTTTTTTTTTTTTCCATTTTATAAAAAAAACAAACTGGCTCAGAACCGCTCGTGGCAAATACAAGATGAGGCTCCAGTCTGATTTCAAGTCATGCATTCCACTGCATCACTGCTGCCTCTCCGGTAGGAGAAAAGCTTGGATTTTTTTTTTAAGGGTCATCCTGTCAGATTGTTCAGAAGGCAATACTCAACGAAAAAGTCCACTTTGCAATGCACATGAGTATTAAAATAAGGAGAGTATGAGACATGGTTCTGTAAGCACTAAAGAATTAAAAACATGCTAATTTTCCTATAAAGTTATCTCAGCAGTTTTTTAGGTTTCAGAACTAATATGAGTTGTAACTATCCTGGGGCTTATTAGTTGAAAACATCTGTTAGGACAATTATTTGTCGATCTTTCATTCTTGATCTTTCTGCAGTAATTGCCAGCACTGGCTATTCCTCTGGAATACTCTTTTCTTCTTGAAAAAGCCAAGTAGCACAACGGATAAAGTGCTGGGTCTACCTCAGTCCCCCCAACCACAAAAAAGGGATAATAATAGCAGGGTTGTTGTTAGGATCATGAGATATTTGTAAATTACTTAGCACTGAGGTTGGCACATGGTAAGCACTTCTACCTGAAGACTCTCTCGGTTGCCTTGGCTGGTTCATCATGACCAAACAGAGGGCAAGACTTTAACCTGAGTCCTCTTCTCTCTCTATACTCTCTCTCAAGAAAGTCTTACCAGTTCCCATGGGTTTAATTTTCATTTCTATACAGATGATTCCTAGATCTCGTTTCTCTCTCTCCTGAGCTCTAGTAATACATTGTCAACTAACTAGTTGACATTTCAACAACATGGATGTCCTATAGACTTAGATGTTTGTGATAATTCAATATATGCAAAATAGAACTTGCCTAGTTCTGGCAAGGGCACTATCACTTCTCAGTTTCCCAGGTTCCCAAACTCAGCATTATCCTTGACTCATTTTTCTTCACCACACAGATAAATTCAGCTGCCAAATTGTTTTTTCTATTTTCACAACATCTCTTACATCTGACCCTTCTCACTACTCACATGGGTCACCATCTTTATTCAGGTCTTCATAATCTCTCACCTGTACCAGATTGCTCCCCTCTCTAATCCAACCTCTTCCCAGATGACAAAGTGATACTCCTTAAGCCCAAGTCTGATGACATCACTCAGAATCCTATTTAAGGAGTCATTTCAGTGACAATTTCTCTAGGATGAAATAGAAACTTCTCTCTTTGGTATTTAGATCTTTTTACAATCTGGCCCCAATCTACCTTTCAATCAATCAATGAGTATTTATTAATCACCTACCATATGCCAAGATGTGTGCTGTGCTGGATGCTAGGGATACAAATAAAAAAGAAACAATCCTACTCACAATGAGCTTATGTCCCCTCTAAAGGTGAAGATATATATGTAAAAATATATATCTTCATTCACAACATGACTAATGTGGAAATATATTTAATTTAAATTAATTTATTATTATTAATTTATTAAAATAAATTAATATATAATTGTACATGGATAACCTATATCAGATTGTCTGCTGTCTTGGGGCGGGGCAGGGAATGCACTGGAGACAGAAGATAGAAGTTCCAGGATGAGGAATAGAGAGAAGGCCATTTTGGCTGGATCACGGAGTGCCAGAAGGAGTAGTAATATCTAATGGGGCTGAGAAGGTAGGTTGACGCCAAGTTATATATGGCTTTAAAAGCTAAAAAAAGTTTATATTTTATCCTACAGGCAATACTATTAGAGTTGTCTAAGTAGGAGAGTCACAAAGCTAAATCTGCCCTTAAAAATTACTTTGGCAGCAGTGTGTAGAATGTGTTGGAATAGACAAGACTTGAAGCAGAGAAACCAATTGGTAGGCTGTTGTAAAATCTAGAGAGTGGTGGTGAAGGCCTGCATTAGGGTTATAGCTGTCTAAATGCAGAGACAATCAATTTAGAGACACTATGAAAGTACAAAAAGGAAGATTTGGAAAATGACTGGATGTGTTGAGGATATTGCTAAGTTTACAAACTGAGACACTGATGGTACCTTTGATAGGAATAGGGAAGACAGGTAGAGGGATGAGGTTAGGGGCAAAGTTAATGAGTTCAGTTTTAGACATGTTGAATTTGTTTGAGGTATCTCTAGAACATCCAATTTTAATATCTAAAAGGCAGTTAAATATTATGGATTACTCCTTATAGGCCAGCCAAACTGTGCTTCTTACTATTACACATACACAATATTCCATCTCCCATGTGGTCCAAGGTCAGTGTCTTGTTCTGGCTCTCCCCTATGCTTTGAATGCAGTCCCTCTCACCTCCTCCTCTTGGAATACCTTGTTTCCTTAAAGACTCAACTCAGGCACCACCTGCCACAAGTAACAGACTGATTCCAGGCCAGGGGAGGCTGGGGCATCCTCTTTCATTAAGAACCCATGCAAACTGGTTTCAGATCTAGGGAAATCTATCTTCTGAAGAAAGAGGTCAGCTGTTTTCTCACCATTTCTAATTCTTTATGACCCCACCACAGAGCCCTGAAGAACATCACTTAAAGCTTTGGTTTGGCTCATATCTTCCTGTAAGGGAATAGAAAGGTAATCACTATACAAAATAAATCAGGCATAAAACAGCTATTTATTTTCACCACACAAAAGAAATGCTTAAAACACACACATACAAAATAAGCACAGATGAATATTTAATTTAAAACACAATATAGTAATCAATAACTCCAATATCCTTCCAGGAGTCAAAACATTGAAACATGAGTCATTTACTTGGACTGTTAACTAGGCATTCATCACCTCCACCGTAGCTCTACAATGTCTGAACCAATCTCACAAAATTCATGTCTTTTGACAAGTCAGGCCAGATTCATTACCTCTTTGTGGCTGCCTTCTCTAAGATGCAGTTGCAGAAACCTAATCCTATAGCTAGCTGACTCCAAATAGAAGATCAATTAACTCCCGTAGAAAGGGACATCTCAGGATCTATCTTTGGTCACCTATGTTCAGTGAAAGAAACAGAAGCAGAAGAGGCAACCAGAAGCTTAAGACTCACACTCGCCTAGGAAGCAGAACTTCTTTTTTTTAAGAGTCTCAAAGTATTCCTGGGGACTAACATTTGGAAGTAATTCCACTTTATTTTAAAATTCAGTAAAGACTTATTAAGAATAATTAGGAAAGGGGCAGCTAAGTGGCGCAGTGGATAGAGCACCAGCCCTGAAGTCAGGAGGCCTTGAGTTCAAATCCGACCTCAGACAGATGATATTCACTAGCTGTGTGACCCTGGCCAAGTCACTTAACCCGACTGCCTCACCAAAAAAAACAAAAAAAAAATAATTATGAAACAAAAACCTAAGCTTCTTAAACAAAATGAGTTGTCAAGCAGCCTGACAACTCATTTTGCATAACAACTTCAGAAGAATAAAACTGTAAAGTCAAATAGAATGAATGAAAAGCATTACTACAGACTTAATTTCCTGGGAAAGGTCTAGGAATACTTGGAATTTATCAAGGAGTCCACTCCATAAGATCAGCCACCACTGGAAAAGAGGAAGAGGGAGTCTCAAGGACAGGGTGGAGAGGGGATTCTCAATTCTCTATGATATACAGTGGAGGTGGGAATTCAGGGCCTGGAGATCTTTGTATCTCGGTATGCTAAGGTAGCCACAGGAATTAACAAATTAAGATTGAGAAAATCCTGTATCATAAACACTTTTGTCAGAGTTGTTCCTATATACCAATGGAGTTACAGATGCCATTTGTTTGCAGATTTCAAATTTTTGCTTGAATCAAACCTAAAGAGAGTAATACAAACTAACTTTAGTCACTAGTCTAAAAAGATTTCAACTTCACAACAGATTTTACAACCTTTTTTACTCTTCCCCTCACTTTTTGCATACTCAAACATTTTCATTTTTTCCCATTATCAAAATGTTGAAATTCCTATTATGTTTGAGTCCCACATTCAAAGAAAGAACTGTGCTCTATTTATTGCTGGATACTACATTTTCAGGACCTTGATAAGCTGGAGGGTAACAAGGATGGTGAGAATGCAATTCCCTTGAGAGCAGGGATTGTGTTATTCTTATATTTGTGTCTGCAATACATATGTTCAGTTGCCTTACACATAGATGGAATTTACTAAATTAAATTGAATTGTAACCCACAACTTATGGGTCCTGATTGAGGGAAATGTAATATTGAGCCCAGAGAAGATGAAAGGGATACAAAACAAACTGTCTTAGAATTTAAAGTGCCTTCATGGAAAAAAGAGCAATTAATCAACAAGCAGTTATTAAGCACCTATTAAGTGGCAGTGACTGTTCTAGGTCCTGCAGTCACAAAAGAAAAAAACGACATAGTCCTGGCTGTCAAGAAGTTTAATGATAATGGAGGAGACAACAAACTTCAGTGTATTCCTTACTGCCTTTGGAATCAAATATAAAATCCTGTTTGGATTATAAAAACCCCCTACCTTTCTAGTATTCTTACACCTTATGCTGCACC